CCTGCCTCTCCTGCTGTGCTTCCCACATCTTCACCTGTCTCCATACAGGGAAACGAGGCGCCTGTATCAGAAAGGAATGTTTTGCATAAAGGTTTGAAAGATCCAGGTATTTTTCAGCAAATCAAGCAAAGTGGTCAATGAATAGTTGGATTAAGTTCATCCCAGCTTTGGAGGTCTCATAAGCGTGGCCAGTGCCTGTGGATGTCTCTGTGCCTGGGAATGGGAGTGTGAAAATGTTCACACTTGTTCACAAAAATGTTCACAACCTGTCTGTTCCACGTGTTTGTCTTTATTCATCAAGGAATTTTAGGAGCCACTCCAGATTTATTTGTTAAATAAAAGACCCACTATCCCCATAACGCTTAAATTAATCCAGTGTCATTGATTCTCTTTGATCTGAGTGTGTAACATCTGATTTCTTGCCTGGCAACGAACAACCCCCCACTTTTAACTGAAATTTGTTGGAATGAACTGAGAGTTGTAATTTTTACTGAGCAGTTTATAAAACTAATGGCTTTAAACAGATAAGCTCCTTAGCTAGAAAAATAGTTCAACACCGATTGCTTCATCCTCCAGAATCCATTAAAGCCACTGTTAGGCAGTTATAATTTATTTTTAATGACAGGGTTTCAGCCAGAAGAGATTCCCATTGGATCCAGGTGCTGGACTGAGCAAAGCTCCTTGGTGGAAGCTGTGCCATTATGGGGGTTGGCATTTTACTGGCTCTTTGTTCTGGGTTTGATTTTAGCATTTTCCTTGCTCTGAGCTGCTCTAAGCTTCAAAAAAGCTGCCCTGGGGAAAAGCTGCAACGTGTTCCTGGTGGAGCTGCACTTCAGCTCTTTTCCATACAACACACTCAGGAGTGTCCAAAGAGAATTTCACCAATATGAGTTAAATTTTCCTGAAGCTGGAACACTCCTGGCCCTGCCTTTCCCTCAGCACAGTCACACAGATGTGGGATCACTGATGGCCCAAATGGACATGAGTTCTCACAGAAGAACATTTCCTCAGCTCACTTGGTGATATTCCATCTCTTTGGATGTTCTCTTGCATGGGATCAGCTTTGTTAGAGGATACAACCTTGTACTAGAAAAACAGCAAATTAATCCAAATTTCTCTTTATTCTTGGTCGAAGGGGATCTCATTCCCAGGCACCAGCAAGTGTTCAGCACCAACCAGTTCTTCAGCGGGGTGAGAATTCCAGACCCGGAGAGCATGGTAAGAGCTGCCTCCAGATGCAATTCCCTTGAGCCTGGTGCTAACCAGTCTCTCTTCCACTCTAATCCACTCTGCAGTGCTAAGGAGACAGGGTGTTTGGGCAGGGAAATGTTCCTGCTTCTTTTTACCCACGTGCTGCCTGCTTTGGAAGTGGAACTGGAAGAGCCTCGCTCAGCTTGACCAGTCCTTTGCTGCGCAGCGTTTTTTTCCCAGTCCAAAAGCTTTGCCCTTTCCTTTGCCAGTGTGCACCAGGATATTACTTGGAGGTGGCTGAACCCGTCTCATGACATTTTAACTTCTACACTGTGTAAAGACAGTCAAAAAATTATTGATCTCCACCCCTTCCCCCCATTCCTGGTGGCTCATCCTCAGTAGTGCCAGGCCTGCAAGCACACGGAGTGAGGGAGGCATTTTGTGAGGAACGGGTCACATTGCTATGGGAAGCTGGGTCTCTGTCCCCTGATAAATGAACAGGTTGCTCATATGAGTACACTCACTGGTTTTTTTCCCTCCAGGAGCCATTGGAAGTGAAATTCCCCAATATTTCATACTCTGCTCTGTCTCTCATGAAGGTAAGAAAACTCCAGCCCTGCACTGAGAGGAGCAAGTGGGGTCTGTGTCGCTTACCAGTAAATGGTGTGAGCTGGGGGCTGAGTTATCAGAGATTCATTGAAAAATAGAGCTGGTTTCCTGCCCCTATTCCTCAAGCCAGAATTCCTACTACAACTGTGGACTCCTCATCCCTAGAAGTGTTCAAGGCCAGGTTGGACAGGGCTTGGAGCAACCTGGGATAGTGGAAGTTGTCCTTGCCCATGGCAGGGGGTTAGAATGAGATGGGCTTTGAGGTCCTTTCCAACCCAAACCATTCCATGATTCCTTGATTAATTGCTGCAGTCATTGGGTATCAGCTGTTCCTCAAGCTTCCTGCTGGCTGAAAAGCCACTGTTATAATACATTAAAAAATTATTAACACATGTACCTGTGGGAATACTGTGTTGGCTGTGGGGAGGGCCTGGAATTGTGCAGACCTGTTTCATGAGTGTTTTGTGTGATCCTTCATCTTTTCTAGGCATGCCTTCGGATGGACCCTGCGGAGAGGCAAACCTGTGAGCAGCTGCTGCAGCATCCCTACTTTGACAGCTTCAGGGAGGCAGTGGATCTGGGGAAAGAACGGGAAAAAACAGCTCGGAAACCAGCTAGGCTGACCCGGAAGCACATGCCAGGGGTAACTTTTCCACAGTATTTCATGTCCTGTGCCTGAGGAGGGGCTGGTTGTTTTGTTGGCTCCCAGGAGCTGGGCTGTGCTGGCAGTTTAGGGTGTTGGACTGGTCTCAGTTTTATCCTGAGGAGAAAACAAACCTCCTGGCTAAAGAGTAAATCCATACGAACTGGATACTGCAGTGCAGCTCCATGGGGCACTGGGGATAAGCAGCACAGCCCTGTGAACCATCAGAGTTATCCAGGAATGTGCATTCCTGACAAAGAGTAGCAGGAGAGCTGAACAAACTGGACACACTCATGTGGCTGGTTTAATTTGGGATCCTTTTGGTGCTTTTTAATCCCAAATTATGGAGATGGAAAAAATGCCCAGTTCTGTTTGTAACTGGTGACGGGACATGATCCCATACTCAGTTCCACACGTTACACCACACACTGGGTGTTTCTGCAGCTGGAGTTGCCAGGCAAATTCCCTGCTGCTTCAGCCTTTCTGGACTCCATCCCAAGTCCCCAGATCCATCCTCACAATGTGAGTCATTCCGCAATTTTTATGCCCAAGAGCCACATTCCCCACAGCAGCTGTAGGGCTGAACTGGTAACAGACAGGGAAGTTGGAGGTGAGGAATGGAGAACTGCTACAGCCTGTGAATTCCTGGATCACACTGAGTCACCTCTTCCATTTCTATGCCATAGGATATAACAGGAATATTTTTCTTGCCCTGGAAGACTGGAAGAAATCCCTTTAGTGAGTTGATCTTGTTGCAGTCCAGTCACAGAACCATGACTCTTAGTATGAGAAGTGCAGGATTACAGTAGGAATAGTGACATTTTTCCATGTGAAAAAGGAAACGTGTGCTTTATTCTCATTCCAGACAAATACGCTCCGTGTAACTTTTCCTTTAGTTACAGCACCTGCCCCAGCTGACCAGCAGAAACGTTCTCCCAGCTTTGGACAGCAAGAAGCACTGCTGCAAAACAAGGAAATCCAACTACCACTTCCCAAACATCTGACCAGATTCAGACTTGATTGTTCAAAGTTCAAGGATAAATTCGGGATTCATAAAGGGAGGATACACAGTGGAAAACTAAATTACTAAATGCTATGACATGTACAAAGTGAGTCCAGCCTGATGAGAGGCTGCCTGACTGCTCCACGTAGTTCCCAGCCTGCTCCAGGGATACACCTGCCTTACCACTGCACTTACAGATCACAGAGTATTAAAACTACTGGTAGTGGCTTCACAGGCTCAACAGGCACCACTCCCAGGAGAACAGATCAACCATAACCTCTTGTTTCTTTACTCTTTTTAGAGTTTCTCCTGAGTGTTTCATCCATTGATTGAGGTTGCTCTTCTTTGCTGTTTCTGACAATAGTGAAGCCACTTGCTTGTAGTTACAGGAATTGTTTTGATCAAAACTAATCATGAACTTAATTTATAACAATGGCCAGACACAGGTAGGGATTCTACCTTAGTGTTTGTATTAAGAGTGACTCGGGTTTGTGGAATCTCAGGATGTAATATTGGGTTGATTTTGAATAAAAGAAATGTAGCTTGTTTTTCCAATTTACTGGATTTTTTTTTTTTACTTGAAACCAAGAGCAAAAATGTTTTGTTTTCCCAGTACATTCTGTGTTCCACAACAGTCAAAGCCATTTCAGTGGGACAGATCCCACATCCTCAGATGGTACCTGTCGGCCTTTTGTGTCCTTACACAGGGAGATCCATGTCTGAGACAGCACTGTGGATCTTTCTTGGAGTCGCTGCCTCCTGCCCTTCCTTACCACCAAAGATAGGAATTTGGCTAAAAATGCTGTGTTCTCCCTGAGGATGAGTCCTCCCCCCTGTGCTGGCACAGCTGAGGCACTTCCATTCCTGGGGGCAGTTTTGGGCCCCTCACAAGGACATTGAAGGGCTGGAGTGTGTCCAGGGAAGGGAATGATGCTGAGGAAGGGGCTGGAGCACCAGGAACGGCTGAGAGAGCTGTGGGGGCTCAGCTTGGAGGAAAGGAGACTCAAGGGGGACCTTCTGGCTCTCCAACTCCCTGACAGGAGTGGGGGGCCAAGGGAGTGTTGGGCTCTGCTCCCAGGGAACAAGGGACAGAAGGAGAGGGAACGGCCTCAAGTTGCACCAGGGGAGGTTCAGGTTGGATATTATAGAAAATTTCTTCATGGAAAGGGTTGTCCAGCCCTGGCACAGCTGCCCAGGGCAGTGCTGGAGTCCCCATCCCTGGAGGGATTTCAAAGCCATGTGGATGTGGCACTTGGGGACATGGGCCAGTGGTGGCCTTGGCAGTGCTGGGGGAAACGCTTGGACTCGATGGTCTTGGAGGCTTTTCCAACCTTACTGATGCAGTGATTCTGTTTATCAGCAGTGATGAGGATGCAGCTACAGAGCTGCACAGAACTCATTCAGTCCATGTCAGCACACGGCAAAAATGTGCACAATCCAAGGGCCACTGCTCTGCCACAGCCAGCCGTGCTCCATTCAGTGTTCCTGAGGAGGTGACCCTGCCTGCCTGTAGATGACTCCATTGCAACCACACAACAGAAGTCAAAGCATGAATAACACAAAAAAAGGCCCATGACCTGTTTTATTAAATCAGCTCCCACCGACTGGGCGGGATTCTCTGAGAGTGAACAGCCCTTGTTCCCACAGCACCAACACCCGGCACCGACCGCGCCCAGCGCTGCGGCTTCACTCCCCACTGTCACTGCCACTTCATTTCTGTGCAATAAAACAGCTGAACACTTCTCACTGAGGTATTAACAGCTCCCTACGAACACAGGAAACGTGACTCTGTACAGACACCTGCCTCCTCTGTTGCTATCCACCACTTAGTTTAAGCTTAACAAAACTTCAGTGCATAATTTCTGGAAAGGTCACATGCAGCTTTTTGAGGCTGCACTGGGAGAGCTGGGCTTATTTTCACACCTGGAAATACAGCAGCATCTACAAGTTAATTTATGCAATATATGATAAATACTAGGAAGTCACATCTCAGTCATGTGCTGTCGTGTTTATTCCAAGTCCAGCTCCAGCTCCAGCTTTGGCAGCGCCTGCTGAAGGGCGTGAAAGGTGGTTTCTTTCTTTCTGATTCCAGGAAGGTCACTCAGATACAAATACTCAAGGTTCCTGTAAATATTTAAAAAGAAAATCAGCAACTACTATTTAACAGCTCCCAAAGAAATTAGAGAAAGGATCATTCTACTGTAATTATTTTAAATGGTGACTGGTTATAATAGAAGCTTTTTATGAAGTGGGTGCTTGAGGTTGTTAGCTGCAGAGGTGCAGTATCCAAGTGCATCCCATGCCCAAGGACTCAGGTCTGCCCTGAGACCTCCATGAGAGGATGTCGTGACAGGGAGCAGCCCCACACATCTGGAACAGCCAGACTCCAGCTCCCCCACCCAACACAATCCCAAAACAGCTGGGACAAGGGTGCTGTGGAAGCGGTGAGGGGCTCACGTACGTCAGCTTGTGAAGGGCAAGGATGCCTTTGTCTGTGACATTCCCACAGGAGATGATCTTCAGCTGGAGGAGACTCTTCTGCAGGTTGTTTGTCTCGCTGAGCCTCTGCAGACACTCGTCCTGTATGTACATGCACTTCTCCAGCCTGATGTCCGTGACGTGCTCCAGACCATCTGGAAAGATTAAAAACGAGGATTTGCTTCAGAGTGCCAGGACCATCCTGTGCTGGTTGTTAAGTTCTGCCTCCAAACCCACCCAGCAACAAGTTCCTGTATACATGGGGCCATAACACACAATGAATCTCCAAAGTCCCTTTGTGGTACTTCAAATAAATGAAAACCCTTTTGGTAAGATTTGAAGAGCTTTGGCATGGGCATGTCACAAAAAACCTACAAGTTTGGGTGATGAACAATGACTGACACAGAAATGTGCTAATGCAGGAAATTCAAGGTCCCCTGCTAAGAAAAAATAATAATAATAGTAACTGTTGCCTATTTTGGTTTCTGCTGTTTAAAGGAGACCTGAAACACCTTTTTAATCTTTTCTAAGAAACCAAGTGTTTGCTTTTTGTCTTTGAAGATGTCATAAATACCTGGAGAACAAGCAGAATTATGACTTCAGAGGCACCAAAATCATGGTTTGGTGTAGAAGAAAAAGAATATTTATAGTGCTTTTTGCTTCCAGCTCATCAAAATTCGTGGCACTTCCTTAGTGCTACGGACATTTCAGGCAAGGGCTGATGAAGTTCCCAATCACACACCTCCAGCAAAACCTTAGGAACTCATAAAGCCATTTTAAGGGAAAAAAACCCCACGAGAGATTTCTCAGTATCTTGCTAAGGAACGAGACAATGACACAGTTATCGATACTTTGACGCAACTGAAATCAAGACCGTTAAGAACAATCTCACGTTACCCAGGTAGTCAAATCCTCTGTACATGATGCAGGAGTCGGTGGCATTAATTGCTTCTATCTTGTACTTGCCCAGGGGCCCCGTGGGGAGCCCGTTGTAGTCCTGCTGCCACTTTGGGGAGCCCTGGAACCGCACCAAGGCCCCGCAGCGCAGGAGCCACTCCGAGGCCGCCCGGTCGGGGCCCACGGCTTGGATCCGCTCGTAGTCCACCCTGCCACGACACAAAGAGCATCCACAGGGTGGAAAAGTTATTCCCTTGGCAATCAAAAAGCTCCACGGCAAATATCTGCTTAGGTGTGTGGTAAGGTATCAGAAAACTAAGGATGTGATTTACTGCACGTGGTTCACGTGTCATCGTTTGGACTGTGAGGTTCTTAGTCTGGCTGGAGTTTTTTTTAGCTTGTTTTAAATGGCAGATGCTTTTGGTAAAAAAAAAAAAGAATGCAAATGCAACTGGACTTAACCTTCCTGATTGTTTCTTTCCATGTCTGTAGGGAGAGAGAAAAAAAACCACCTTTTTCTTCCCAGAGGCTTTACAACTACTAATTTCTCTTTCAAACATTGATTATATAGAAACATCTTGAAATCTGTTACAAGTATGTCGTTCCTAAATCCTTTTCATAGAATCATGGAGTTGTTAAGGCTGGGAAAGGCCTTTAAGATCATTAAGTCCAACCACCAGCCCAGCACCACCACCACGTTCACCACTGAACCATGTCCTCAAGTGCCACATCCACACGTTTCTTGAAAACTTCCAGGGATGGTGACTCCACCACTGCCTTGGGCAGCCTGTTTTTTCTCAACAGTTACGGTATTTCATAAAAACCACACTTCAGCAATAGTTAAACTTCTTGGGTCCATTCTGGAAAAGGATGCATTTCTTAGTCTGGCGAGGAATGATGAAGGCCGAGACCTGGAAGAGGGTCCCGTCTGGTTTAGTTTCAGTAATCAGCTACACCACACAACCCTTCCCACACAGCCAGAAGACATAAGGCAAAACTATTAGCTCCTGGCAAAAGTTATGGGCAGAGAAAGTTTCACAGAGAAGGGTTTTCTCTTTCAAAAGTAAATCCGAAACCCTCCTGTGGCTGAATCACTTTGTAAGTGATGGGCTGGTTTGATGCTGTTCTTAATAAGTAAAGGGGCTTGGTTCTGCTACGTGTTTAAATGAGTTTTGGGGTCAAAGAAGAGCAGGACTTAGGGACAGAATCCATGTGGCCACTCCATGGAGGGGGCAGAGCACAGACCTTCCTCTGGAGGGTCACAGCTTTGGGATGGGAAGCAGGTACGGAACGCCCCCTGCCAAGCACCGACACGCAATCTGGAGGGAAAGAAGAGCATTAAGTTCTCTGCAGCCCAGGGATTTGATTCTTCTCTTCCACAAACCGCGCTGTGGACCCGCGGGACCTGATAATTGATTATCGCCCAGTGACTCACTCTTACTTGTTGAACACGGCGTTCAGCCATCCCCAGAACCCTCTGCAGCTGCCCGGCGGCGACGGCGGCTTCTTCACGAGTCTCCCCAACACCATCATCACCTCCTTGGAGAAGAGAGAGAGAAAAGGGAGATATTATTTGGAGCGTCCGCAGCAGCAGCACGGGGGGGGCCGCGCCCCCCTCCAGGCCTGACCGGGGCTGCCCTCCCGGCGGGACCCGCGGCTGCAGGCGGGGGTCTGTCACCGCCCCCGGGCTGCCCCGAGGGCCGAACCTTGGCCGGCTCTGCCCTGCCCGGCCCGGCGGAGCGGCTGTGGAGGCGGAGGAGGCGGAGGAGGAGGAGGTGGACGCGGACTCGGCGGACGCGGCCGGGCGGTCTCTCCGCCCCCAAGATGGCGGCGGCGCTGAGGGGCCGCGCGGGCCCGGGCGGGGCCCCGGCGCTGTGGCGGGTCCAGAGCCGGGGGAGGAGGTGAGGCCGGGGGGAGCGGGACGGACCGCCCCGGACCGCGTCCTGCCCCTTCCTTTATCCATTTCCCTTATCCTTTGCCTTTTCCCTTTACCTTTCCGCTTCCCCTCTCCCCTCCCCTCACCTCCCTCCCCTCACCTCTCTCCCCTATATCGCCTTCCCCCTATATCCTTTCTCCCCTCACCCTATTCCCTATATCCCCTATCCTCTATATCCCCTATCCCCTTTCCCTATTCCTATCCCCTCTCTCTGTCC